TACCTCAAAGCATAACGCATCTGCATCTACAAATATATGTCTTTTTTCCCTTGGCTGCCCTGGACATGCTGATGTCCTCTGTAATGTCCCTCACGCACACACTTAAAAGCAGTAAAAGAAGCTGAAGTTTACAAATGTTTATTTTACAAAAGGGAAGCTAGAAAAGTGAATAGAAATCACTCTAAATTGTGACTTCTATTCACTGTCGGGATGGAGCAGTCCAGAAGCAAGTGTTTTATTGTAGAGATAAAAATTATCTTAGTTCAGAAAAAAATGAATGTCAAAGATCAACTCGACGCACAGAAATCTGAGTAGAGAGGATTAGGTGGCCAGGGGGTAGCTCGCCTAAGGAGGAGAGGGTGACAGAAGATGTTAATGGTGGGGATGTGTAAGAAAGAAAAGAAACTGCTTCTGTCTACAGTTTAGGCATCTTTGCAGCATTGAGGCGCATAGAAACACAGGAGGATCCAGCAGCATAGCGCATCTCCCTCAGCATGCCGCTCCACTGCTTCTTGTCTTCCTCATACCTAACAAGAGCGAGAATTCAGTCATTTTTCCCAAACGAGCAAAGTAGCAATATAAAAAATAAAAGCCTGTAAATCTGGCTCCCTTAACTTAATAAGACTTACTGCCAGACATCAGTGACCTCTGTGGGAGTCACCTCCTTGTTCTCCATCTGAACCATAGCAAAGCCACCCACAGCGTAAAGCGAGCCACCATTGCTCACTAGGTTGACCGAGCTTCTCTCCTGAGGAAACTCTGTGAAGGGCTCCCACCTGAGGAGACACAACATTAGGAGAAGGTAGGAAATAAGTCTAAGCTATCCCTGTTGCTGTAGTTTGTACCGCAGTCATCTTTTCCAGTTTCAGTATTTCTCTTTTCTTTTGGCCGATAACTGAAATGTAGTTTATCAAAGCCAAATGAGTGCAACATTTTTTTTAAACAAAAAAATTCTGTTGGTTATAAACAAGTAAATTAACCAGTCCTGTAACTTAAATGTATTTATAATTTGCACTTAATTGCAGAAATTTTAATGTCAGAGTTTAAACTAGCTAGCTTAAATACTGTTAATCTGAGCCAATAGGCTCCAGTTAGCTATAGCAACTACAGCGCCAAAGCAAATCTAAATCAACCCGATAGAGGTTGCTGCTGCAAATAAATAAACCACACTATGATAAATCTATAAATGTTTTATTAGTATTGATGCTCCTTTTAATCCTATCTAGATACTGCACTAGCTAGGGCAGATAAATCGCACTGAGAAGCCAGCTAGCTAAAATTATTAGAGAAAGGTTTGACTCAATGAGCATGAAGAACCAGTGAGCGCTGTGATCGTTCTAGCCATCTTGGGGGATGTGGGATGATTTTAAATGTGACATGTGATAAAACATCCTGTTCTACCACATCCCAAAGGTGCTCTACTGGCAGGGCTGGACTGGTCATCTGGCATTTTGGGCCAATGGATTGAAAGGCCGCTGCCGTGCAAGCACTGGGGGGGCCCATTGGTTCATTTTTATTACTGACACTGTATTGCCCAATTAAATCTCTTAAATGCGATCAGCCCCTCCTCTCTCCCCCCTTCTCTATTCACTGGTGCAGCTTGTGGAAGAAGTTTAGTGTAGAAGAAGTGAGTAAAAGGTGGAGCTGAAAAGCTAAAAGAAAATAATAAAAAGAAACTTAAAAATAGATGCAGCAAAATGGGTCAAATTAACAACATATTTGTTGTTGGCGCTGCTGCACCGTGAACAGCAACTAGTAACCAGGCATCACAGTTACAGGAGGCTGCTGCTGAACCAGCTGTGTAGAAGTGAGTAAGAGATGGAGGAAGATGAAACTCACATGAAAAGAAGATAGATGGAGGGACATAATTAGGAAGGGAGAAAATGGCTACTTTCATCATGAGCCACTGCTTATATCTAAAATGTAGCAACTAAGAAACAACTCAAAAACAACTGTACCTGATGAGAACCTGTTTCAATATCTATAATCAAACAAAAACATAAACAATGCATAATATGTGTATGCCTGACAGATATACATATTCTTAAAAAAAATAATAATAAGGAAATGATGGTTGGCCCGCCTTGACCAAAAATGCCAGGGCTGTCCCAGTCCAGCCCTGTCCACTGGAGTAAGACCTTGTGACTGGTGACTTGAGCAGTCTGTCTATCTCTGACCTCTAACATGAACAAGAGGGCTCCTGCTTACTGGATACTTTTTCAGAACATTCCCGGGAAAACCTAGAGATGATAGTGTGGGAAAACTTCAGTAGAAAATTTCAGTCGTTTCTAAAATCCTTAGACCATAACTTGCTCCCTTAAATGACCCTTCTTACCCATTCCGATGCTCAGTTTGAACTTGAGCAGACTTCCTTGACCAGGCCTACATGATGCACTGAGTTGCTGCCATGCGATTGGCTCATTAGATATATGCATTAACAAACTGCTGAATAGGTGTACCTAATAAAGTGACTAGTGAGTGTTCTCATTTAAAAGGAAAGTTGCAAACATATTCATACTTGTTCGTTGCAAAGTCATAGGCTTCACACGAGGCAGTGAGGCCTTCCTCGTTGACTCCACCAACCACTATGATCTTGCCATTGTGGACAACTGCTCCAAACATGGCTCTGGGTGTCTTCATGGCTGCCTGCTCCCTCCACTCTGACTGTTTGTGGTTATACACAAACATCTTGTTAAGGGCTTTGCTGTGAAGATGAAGGAAAGATGTGGGACTTTCAGCATCAAAAGCTGTCAAACTTTTTTGTTCATTTTTGGTGTTGACTTGGTGATGTCACCTACACAAATAGATGCAATTAATGGGTGCTTTAAGCATCTTTTTTGTACAAATACACAGCTCTAAAATGAAAATGATGATAATTTAAATCAATTGCTTTTAAATAAGGAAAGATACATGTTTGTTTACCGACAAAGAAATTTAATCTTAAAACCAACGTTTAAATGATTGATTATAAAAATTTATCCTCATGTCTTCATTATTATTATTTTTTTTTTTACTAATTGGACTAATGGACTCGCAGTGTGTTTCAACATGAAGCCTTCATTAAAAAAAAATCATGATTTCTCTATTGGAAAGGGCACAGCCTCTAAACACCAATCAACAGGAACACATTTGAAGAAAGAAAAGATTCACGTGGATAAAGAGCAGAACAGGAGTCAGTAAATGGACCAAAAAAGGTTCTACAAGAAAAGAAAAGAGAAATGACACAAAAAGCAGTTAGTAAACGTAATCTATATAACAAACGAAGGTGTCCTGAGGAGGAGCGCTTAAAGACATAGGGACAAAATTAGTAAAGGTTCACAAACCTTTACTAATTGCAGTCAATGTTAGGTTGACATTCATTGTTACTAAATCAAAAGACTGAAAGTCTGAACAGTGATTCCATTTTCCTCCTAATTAAACATTTGCTGTGTCAGTTTGGGAAACAGTTAAATGTTGTTAAATGGGCAAACGGAGCAGCTAGACCAAAAAGTATTCTTATGCGGTTACAAAACTAACCGATCTTTTTTTAAAGATCTGAATTTAAAGTTTAAAGTTGCAACTTAAAACTGTAACTTTAGTTACGACAAGCTGTTGGGTGTAGAGAAAAGTGCTGGAGTGAATGGGCTAATGTAGTATGCTGTAGAAAAGTGCCATTTACCCTTACCTCTTGCTCTTATTTTCCTCTTGGTTGAGACATTCTGGTGATAGTCCTAGCTAAATTAAGCCAGGTCGAGCACATCTGTTTACATTTGGTAATTAGCAGCCTGTTTTACTGACAGCTGAAATCAAGAGCTGACTGCATGTCTTATTACAGTTTTAAAGCCTAAGGTTCATTTTGTTGTAGAAAGTGTGTCCCTTCCCAGCTCTGGCTTCTATCTCAGGCATAGAGAGAGAGGAAAAATAGCATATGCTGGCTGTAACAAGAGATGCACAGGGCTGGTATTTTCCATGATTGCAGCATATATTAGATTACACACTCAAATTTGTTCAACTATCTCTGTGGGGACACCCATCTCACATTCTTCACCCGGCATTTCAACGGCTCCCCTCTGGGCGACGCCTCCACTGCATTTCCTGCAGGACTGAGAGGAGGAGAGCCACCTTTGTCCCCACAGCCACTCTGCTTTTTAACTCCAGCCGGTAAGACCATTTCCCACACCCATAAACATAAACTACACTCTTCTTATACTACCGACACTTTATTCACTTTTAGTCACTTACAGTTATTTATTCACCTTTCAGTCACTTTAATTTTAAAACCGTGTAATTTTAAAACCGTATATATTGTATATTCTGTGTATTTATTATTTCACTCTTATTGCCTGTTTTTATTGTCCTTATCTTCAACGTAATGCTGCTCTGTTGTTTGTTAATTGCTCCTTGGGGATAAATAAAGTCTTCTGATTTTGATTCTGATTGACTTAAAGCATTCACAATAAACACCCTCGTCTTAAATATCACGACAGAATACAAAACCCATACTAATCTTTATCCTAAGACTAGGATAATCAGTGAGTGTGGTGGAGGTGCGATCCCTGGCCCAGCTACAGGGGAAGGGTGGTGCCAGGGAGGTTGGAGGGACAGGTGGATGTCATTGTGCTGACAAGGATTTCCCTTTTTCAGTGATGTTGGAGACCAGAGGGGGAGGGGTGTGCAGCTGACTGGAAGTTGGCTGCCATGTGTGCCGAGCCAGGAAAAGTATTACTGTGTGCTTGATAAAAAGCTCAAACCGAATGGAAACACAGTGTGTTGGGTCGGAATTCTTTACAGTGAGCATTCAGATTAAAGTTTCCACTCTAAAGTATAAGAACAAGAGACATACAAACATACAAAAGGTCCTTTACTCACTTGTCATCCGTCTTTCCTCCAATGCTATAGACCAGCCCTTTGTGGGAGACAACTGCATGGCCGTGGATCTTCAGGGGAAGCTTTTTGGTCTCGCTCCACCTCATCTTCCTGAAGAATGTGACA